GTCCCAGTCATGTTGTGACGGTGTCCAGGTCATGTTGTGATGGTGTCTCGCTCATGTTGTGACGGTGTCCCGGTCATTTTTTGATGGTGTCCCGGTCATGTTGTGATGGTGTCCTGGTCATGTTTTGGCGGTGTGCCGGTTATGTTTTGATGGTGTCCGGGTCATGTGACGGTGTCCCGGTCATGTTGTGATAGTGTGCCGGTCATGTTGTGATGGTGTCCCCGTCATGTCATGCTGGTGTCCCGGTCACCTTGTGATGGTGTCCCGGTTATGTTGTGATGGTGTCCCAATCATGTTGTGACGGTGTCTCGGTCATGTTTTGATGGTGCCCTGGTCATTTTGTGATGGTGTCCCGGTTATGTGATGATGGTGTCCAACAAAGAGATGGTCGATGTGTTGAAAACAGCAGTTGTTTCCAGATTTTTGTTTTTGTCCCGGTTTGTATCTTGCTATTGGGGTCTCCAGCTGGGCTAATTTGTTCGAGTTCTTTAGTCATGTGGCTTTGTTGAGCTTCACATATGAAAATTCATGAAATGCCAAAATTTGATACTATTTGTCAGTTCATGTAGCCTTTCCGTCCCTTGAGTTGCGGCGCTCAAGTACGAGCATTCGTGTGCATGTCAACAGCGGAAAGGCTGAGCAGCTATCCTGATTTATCGTGATCGAGCTATTAGATCTCTTCGAAGGTGCTAAGATTGCGGCACTGGCTGTGTACGACGCGTTTGTTGTGGAGACACGACGCTTCACTTTAAGACATATGCCGCACAAAAACACTTGTGTTCGAGGAAATCTGGCTTCTTTTACTGTGGAGATGCAGTGCGCTGAGTAGCTTGTCGCAGCTGCGGGCTCCATATTTCACAAGACCCACTCAACAAGCCAGAGTGACGTACAAGAGCCTCGTGCTGAAAAGGCACAATTGTTGCAGAAAAGTGGTCTGGAAGGGTGTCAAGTAAGAGTGTCCTAGAGGACTGTGAAGCAAGCGTATCGTACAAAAAAGTGTCTTAATCGTGGCATTTGTGCCACCCTGCAGCCACATCCATTTGAAGGTGGGCTCAGGAGCTGTAGGAAAGCACTGGAGTTGTCAGTGAAGCACTCATAGAATGCTGTTGATAAGTTGATAAACCTAATCAACGACATCTGTTGGCAAAGTTGCAATAAATGGCTTCCTTGAAATCCTTGCCGGGAGGATATCTTCTCTTCAAAGTGTGTACGGCACATTGTTGCATTAAAATCAAGGGCATTGCACGTGCAAGGCATGAGGTGTTGCAACAATCCCGCTGTGGTGTGCGATTTTATGTGAATAATTGTATCAATCCAAATCGGACACTTCTCTGTAAAGCAGCTTCTTTTGATGTCATTGCATCAAGCTAGGCTTCCTGGCAAGCTCTTACAAGCTGGCGAAGTGCTTTACCAGGTAAATAGCCAAGGTCTCGTGGTACGCAAAGGCGGTCGTCAAGGTAGGTCGCCAGGGACAAAGCCCTCCTGCTCAAGCATTTTGGCTCCTGCAAGCGGTCGACATGGGAGACATGCAAAAAAACAGAACAACCACATGAACCTAACTCATCTTGAGTACCTTGGAATCATGCTTACTATTACAAGTGCTCTGCTTTGACTAGAAGATGATTCCAAAGGCGTGGATATCGCCTCAAGGAGCGCTGTAGCCACCGCTCGCAAGCCTTCGTCGACGTCCTCACTGTTCACACCCGAAGCGACAGCATCTTTGGCCAAAGCTTCTCCTAAGCAATCCCCGCGAATGGGAGGGCGAAACCCCAGCCTGTAAACATGACTTGTTTTCACTGCTTGCCGTCCGCATGAAGCAACAGATTGGATCCCCTCAAAAAGTGAGCAAAGACCGATGTCGAGCCAAAACATCTATATAGGTTAGGATTCCCTGCTTGCAAGCACGTGCTCTTCTCTGAGAATGGAGAGTGCTGTGAAAGATGGCCATTTGGTTTCTGGCCTAGGCTTTTTTAATACTGCGACTCCTTCCTTCAGGCAGGCAGCGATTCCGCACAATGCGATTCGCCACTTCCTCATGCGGTGTAGGTGCCACATGTGGCCGGTTAGCAGCATATGTGGCCCAAGCACCAACCGAAGGCTGGGGATGTTCAGCATCTTCCTACCAGGTCATGGTAAAGAAAACGCGTTTGCAATGGGTACCCATTGGAAGCAGGTTGACAGTAGCAAATATCCTGACTTTGTTTGCTGCTTTCTCAATGACGGCACCCCCGTATCTTGTAAAGGGTATAACGAGGCCTCGACCAAATCAGGTGGCACTCCAGCATTGCCATAGCCAGCCTCTCCGAGCTGAATAATGCAGGTTGCTTTCCGATCGGTAGTTTTGCCTTTTTGGTTCCTCAAAGCTCTGAAAATAGGCTTTGGACAAGCATTCAAGCCTTAGAATATTAGAATTGTGGCTTCGCTGTCTAGTCTGGCCTGAGCAAGCACCTTCCGCCAGGACACTTCATCCCCGCGAATGCGGGCAGAGTAAGCCGGGAACTTGGCGTCCATTGCTTCATACCAAGCACCCAAACGGGGCCAATGGGATGGGTCCTAGGACAAGGGTGAAGTCTCCTTTTCTTGAGATTTCCTGGAGCTTCTTCTCTGGCTCTTGTCCAGGATGTATTTCCTATTTCTTGAATACATTCGGTGGCGCTTTTAAGCCTATCAAAACAATTGAAACTTAAAACAGTGATCCCTCTCCTCCCTTGTGTTTTACACTTGTTCAAAACTACTCCGGTTGCACTGCAGAGCCTTCTGCTCTTTTTCGCATCTGTGGGGCTCATTCCTTCAACAAAGCTTGGACAGACCATTGTCTGGCCCGGTCGTGATCTCGCCGTGGGTCGTAAGGCCAAAGGCCACGGTGAAGGCACGGCAGCTGAGCTGCATAGCGCTCCAAAAATGGAGCCCAAGCACAGTCGGCCGCAGAGATCTGGGCAGAACGTTTGGAATGCGTGGGCTTTGCGGGATGTCTCTAGCAATATGCTTGTTTGATCTCGTTTGTCTTCTTTCATCAATGGCCCGGTAAGCATGCCGTTGCCAGAAACCCTTTCAGTGAAAAACATCAGTTTTGGCCCATCAGCATTTCACTTGTCGCAAGCCAAGAACCAATTGCTGCCTGCTCGCCGTGGAAGAATGGCCCACCATGGTTGGCTAGAAGATCCTGCGCATGCTAAGAAAGCCTGTCTTTTTGTTGGGCTGACAGATTGGAGAAAAACAGTCATCCACTACACAAATTCTTTTACAGGAATATGTTGGCAAGGCTCTATTGAATTGAAACTCAATGATACCAGTGGAAAGGATCCGTCCAGTAAGCCGACGAAATGGTTGCCCTCACAGCTCTCACTACAAAAGATCACTTTGAGGCTTCTAGATTTGAAGGAATGTGTGCCGAAAGCCCAGCTTTCAATCACGCCCTAGGGTTGAACCGCTCAGCTTTCTTTGAGAGGTTGGAGAAGTAAACCTTGGCCAACAAAAAAGGCAAACTCATATTGTTAGTGCAACAGTCACGCAAAGTTGCACATGTTTCGAGATGAGTTTCCCACTCCGAACGGGCCTCAGTCTTGTCCAGCGTCGCTTCAAACTCAGAGCGGAAGATGGGGCCATTCCAACTGAAGAGGAAGGCTGCCCGGGAGGAAGGCCTCCAAGAAGATTTTTTGAGTGGCTAATCAATGTGGGTGCACATGCTAAGCTCCATGGTCATATACAGTCCTAGAGTGCTTTGATAAAGCATATGAACCCCCTCACATTGACGGGCCGCAAAGCATCGGATCTGGTTGGGAGCCATCACATATATATATATATATTGTCAAACTCGCTAGTTTGGATCGGACGGTCTCGCAACGGCTCCTTGGTTGTTCAATGTTCAAACCCACGAAAGGGTGGGTGGGAGGCTTAGACACTTGGAAGAAAGGCGTGGACGCTTGTCGGCAGGGAAACAGGGTTTTCTCACATTATCTCAGGGAAAGATTAACATTGGTAGCGGAGCCCCCGTAGAGGGGGCGTAGGTGTTTTTCCTGTTGGGGCTATAGGAGAATTTACCTAGTGAGGTCGCATTGTGGAATTCCGGTTTTGTTGCACGACTTTTTAAACTCGCATTTGCAGTGAGCCATGGCCGGCACTGAGAGCAGTGCTGGAGATGAGAAGTCAGGACACATTTGGAACATCCTGCCTAGCTTCGACCCAACGACAGATGACCCCAGAGAATACGCAGACAAAGTTCGATTCCTGCATTCCATATGCCCACCCAAAGACAAGCCTATCCTACCTCCTAGGCTAGCGCTGTTGATGAAAGGAACAGCGTGGGCCCAAGTGAAGTCATTGGATGGATCAAAACTTTCTGATCCTGAAGGTGGGGTCAAACTTCTTTTGGGAGCAGTGGCATCATGGGAAGACTCAGCGGAATTGCAGACCTATGATAAATTTGAACGAGCATTGTATCGTGTGATGCAAAAGCAAGATGAGAGCCTGTTCTCATACGTCAATCGTATGAATGTGGCATTTGCAGAGATTCCATCCGTGTCCATCCAAGAGATTAAGGCTTTCATCATGCTCAGGCAGAGCTACCTGAATGCCGAAGACAAGAAACGTGTACTCTCGATGACGGGAGGTGAGCTTCAAGCAAAGAAGGTTGAAGATGCGATGAGGCAGCTAGCTCCCAAGATCCTGGTTGGCAGCTCAGGAACCGACAGCAAGAAAAAGGTCTATCCAGTCAACTACGTTGAAGAAGATGAAGACCATGCTGCTCCCTCCTTTGTTGCTGAGGAAGATTACCAGCCAGATGAAGAGACGGGAATCCAGACATTGCTTGACCAAGGCGATGAAAACGCTCTGATGGTTGCAGAGTTCGAGGACCAGCTCGTGGAAGCATGCCAGGACAATGCAGATCTCAGTATGTGCTTTTCAGCCCATACTGAGGCTCGCAGCCGTGTGAGAGACAAGATCAGAGCTCGTGGCTTTTGGCCGCCTCTCAAAGGAAAAGGAAAGCAGAAGTCGAAAAAGGGCTCCTGGAACCAGAAGGGTGGTTTTCGGAAAAGACAGTTGCTGGCAGAGAGGATCGCTAATTCCAACTGTCGCTTGTGTGGCGCCAGAGGACATTGGCGTCAAGAGTGCCCCAACAAGAGTGCCGGAAGCAATCAGAACGCCACCTCAGCGGAGATCCATGTTTCGACTATGGAAGGTGAATTCCTGGGTCCCACAGAGCAAGAAGTGCTTGATCGACTTCCAATTTTTTTGGAACAAGCTCTACCAGACTGGTGGCCCAAGATCAACACCCGCATGACGATTCCGGAGATGCCGACGACCACGATGTCAGAGACCGACCATGGCAAGACTTCGAACCAACACCTGTATGACGACCAGGTCGGGAAAATGTGTATGCTTTCCCACTTTTGCAGGGCTTCTAAAATAGAGACCCATGTTAATGAAGAATTCATTTTGACTGCTCTGACCATTACCGAGATGAGACGTACACTCAGAAGGGGTTTGAGTGAAAGTGTTCACGGAAAGCATGTCAGGTGTGAGACTCGACACGAGCCGATGTTTTTTGTGGATCATGGTAGCACTGCAACTGGAGCTAGTAAATCCGTGATCGGGAAAAAGCGGTTGGAGCAGTTAATGCGAAACTTGCCGGATGATTTTGTGAAACGTGTCTCATGGCAGAAGTCTGAAACGGTGTTTCGATTTGGAAACAATGGGACATTGGCTAGTTTGGGTGCTGTGTTCATTCCTTTTGGAAGTAGTAGGTGGTTGAAACTTGAAGTGGTAGACGGGACAACGCCATTTCTTTTGTCAAACGCATTCTTGAAAGCAGTGGCAGCCGACATTTGCACGTCGCGAAAGATGTTGTGCATGTTTCATGGCAAAGTCAATGTTCCTTTAGATGTGAGTGAGAAGGGTTTGTTTTTGGTTGATCTTGTGGAAATCCTGAAGCATGCACAAGTTGAAGATTTGCATGAAGAATCATGGGAGGTCGTGACTAACATGACGATGAAAAGAAAGATAGAAAAGCGGAAGAGAAAGACACTCACTCGTCAACACGTCACCATCTCCACACACCAGCAGCAACCCCAGCATCACGCACGTGCGAGAAGCCATCCATCAGTCCCGATACCGATGGCGCCCAGCCTCCGTGGGATTGGACGTCCCTCTCCCATTCCCAGAGGATCATGCTCTGGCTATGGCACCGGAGCCCAACGAGTTCAAGATCGTGAAGCCGCCAGGAGTGACGACCTTGAGGGATTGGGGAGATCAAGTGCTGGCCGGCGGGAAACACGTCGGAAAGACATTTTGCACAAGCCCTGGCTGTCGACGCGAGCTATGGAGAGTTCATGAAGAAGAAGGGAGACCTGACCTCTCCGTGGGCCATGAGCTTCCAGAACTATGTGCGGGCAGTGGAGCAAGCAAATCAGGTGCCCAAGATGGAACTGCATCAGGCGGTTTTGACTCCCACTATGATGGCCAAGATGAAGCAGGAGTGGGCTATGAATGGAGCAGCGGCCACGGACTGGGATGTGATCGAGGAGTGGAAGGGCTCTCCAAGCTCGGAAGTCCCAGCAAGGATCACGACGTCAGCAAGTGGGTCAGCAGCAGCAAAACGTGGTCCTCCCGCCGACGACCAGGTGTGGAACATGAAGGTGGAGATCTCCCACGAGGCCAGCCTGAGAGTGGAGCAAATTCAGAGGCAGATTGCTCTGCTGCAGGACGAGATGAGGCGTATTTTGCCAGCCGAGGCGGAAGATGCCTAGAACAACCAATTGAGAAGTTGAGTTCAGTAGTCCAGGAAAATCCAGATGGTGATGGACAATCCAATGAGGACACTTCCATCATGAAGTTCTTTGACAAGGAGTTAGCCAACTTGGTAACAAAGATTGAACACCAACTGGAAGAACTGGCACACCACTCGACTGACATTCGGACACGTCACTTAGCACCACGATTTTCCAATTCGAGCAAACGGTTGGACATCCTGGAGATATACTGTTTTCCGGATTCCCAACTGACACACACACACAGCCAGCAAGATGGGACTGTCAGTCCAAAGATTCACACTCCAGGATGGCGACCTGCGAACCCCAGAAGGCCAAGCCCATCTATGGGCCATCATTGAAGCACGTCGTCCCAGACACATTTGGGCATCACCTGACTGCAAACTGTGGGGAAACTTCGCACGAAGAAACATGGGAAGAAGTTTGAAGATGAGAAAACATGTCATGGAAGGAAGACGACACGAGAAGCCAAACCTCTGTTTGTGTGAGGAACTTTACTGGCACCAGGTGCAAACAGGCAATCATTTTCATTTGGAACAACCAGTAGGTTCGGAACTTCTTCTCCAACCTGAGTTGGAACAGATGAGGTGTGGAACCTTGACGACCGTGTTTGGACATGTGCGAAGTAGGAAACCTGAACTGGAGAGGTGAACCTTTAAGAAAGAGAACAGTAGTTCTGACGACCTCCCGACAGATGCACAGATCACTTGATTGTCGGTACTGTAGCAAAGGACATCTCCATAGACAGATAGCAGGTCAGGTGAAGGCAGATGGTGTTTGGATTCCCTTGTCCACCTTGGCTGCGAAGTACACTGCGAGCTTTGCGAAAGCCGTGATCCGCGTTGTACAGAGCAACCATTCGGAGTTACCCTTGCTTCGTGAAGAACTCCAAGTACCGTTAGAGGGTGAAGAGGTAGATCAGGTTCTTATTGGAGAAGCCATCAAAAGACGTCGTTTGTTGTCGAAACAGTCTTTGAGTGTTGAGCCCCGGACGGAAAACGAGGAAACAAACGAAAGAACACATAAGGAAACTCATGCAAAACGACTGACAGATCTCTTTGGTGAACTGGCCAAATTGGCGCCCAGAGTAGGTTCGGTGTCGTCGTGAGTAGCGAATCGATATGTTTTAGATTGGCTCAGGAACTCTGTGATTTTCGTTTGATTCATGTTGAAGTTTGTCGCGGGACAGAGAGACTGAGGATTCCGAAGTCGGGAACTCCCCTGGACGGACTGGACTTAAGGAAAACGTTTTCATTGAACAGAAGCACTGGGGAGATTGAACAGGTGGGCGATGTTGAAGAATGGCAGAAACTCCACAAAGACAACGAATTAGAAAAGGGATACCCTCTCGATTGACCCTCACTCTTTTCGGGACACGTAGTGACAAACCAAAGGAGGAAAACCCGGGGGACGAGCTACGGAGTGTGAAATGGATGTTGACAAGAAACGGAAACTGGTTGCGGATCAAGAGACTGAAACGAAACGTGCAAAAGAAACATCGGGAGAAGTGTTGGGGGATAGGAAAGAAGATCTTGAAGGTTTGAATCCAGCTGGTTTGGACTCACCTGAAGTAGGAGTGGATGAAGAGATCATTGGAAATCCTCCAAGAAATTTGGCACGTCATGGACCGGGTTTCTTGAGTTTAGAGGCGGATCAAAGAAAATGGTTGAGACAAATTCATCACCGGTTGGGTCACCCTGACACAGAGACTCTTATCAGGTATCTACGGTCGACCAACGCAGAGCAAGCAGTGTTGGAAGGGGCACGGGACTTTCAATGGGATGCTTGTGTAGAAGCACGTAAGGGTTTTGACCTACCGCAGGCCGGTGCCATTCACGAAGACCTTGGTTTCAACCATACTCTAGGCATGGATGGAGTAATCCCTAGTTCCTATTAATAAACGTACCCCAATTAATAAAAACACATGTGCCCGACCCCAAAAAATTGTTAGTAGCGTTTTGAAATTGCTCCCTTTGAAATTCAATACTCGTGGGTCCACAGTCGGGGGTGCCCCAGATTTTAGGTGTATTAGGGGGACAGCAAAAATAACCCGAATTCCCCCTAATATTAAAAACATCTCCAATCCTCCCCCAAAAATACCTCTCTCCCTCTCTCTCTTCGGCGAGACCGCGAGACCCTGGTTCTCCCGCGAAACTACCGGAGGGGGAAGACCTTAGATTTGACCCTTTTTGGCTTTTTTGATGGTGGTTTTAAAAAGGATTTAATATAGTTTGGAACCCATGCCTTTTCCATGTTGTCTCCTTTCCAAGATCCATTCTTGCTGTTTTGTGGCCCCCTAATACTAAGCAGGAGTCTGTGCCAATGCTCCTAATTAATTTTGCTTTCCTGATTGCGCTATCCATTGCTCTTTGCAGCGATGTGTTTTCATTAATTGGGTGCATCAACAGTTGGTCTAGGAAACCAACAACAGGAAGAAGACCTTCGATTTGACCCTTTTAGCTTTTTTGATGGTCGTTTTATAAAGGATTTTATATAGATTTGGAACCCATGCCTTTTCCATGTTGCCTCCTTTCCAAGATCCATTCTTGCTGTTTTGTGGCCCCCTAATACTAAGCAGGAGTCTGTGCCAATGTTCCTAATTAATTTTGCTTTCCTGATTGCGCTATCCATTGCTCTTTGCAGTGATGTGTTTTCATTCATTGGGTGCATCAACAGTTGGTCTAGGAAACCAACAAGAGGGGGAAGACCTTCGATTTGACCCTTTGTTGTTTTTTTGATGGTCGGTTTTACAAGGATTTTATATAATTAATTAGATTGGGAACCCAGGGATTTTCTTTCGAGACCCTACTTTTTTTATTAGGGCGAACAGAACATTGCCCATTTGGGGGTACAACAGGTGCCCCTCAATAATAAACACCCCCTATTAGTAAAAACACCCCAGGGTTTTTATTAATGGGGGGGGGCCGTTTATTATTAGGGAGAGGGGATTAGTGTGGACAAATTCTCATGGAACAACGTTTGAGTTTACTCACGTGATTGATGAGGGGACGTTGTTTCATGTTGCAAGGCCTGGGGGAACAGATTCTCAGAATCAATGGAACTTTCTTGAAGATCATTGTTTTGGGTGGGCAGGATATCCAAGGGTACTGTATGTAGATCCTGCAAAGGGGTACCTTAGTGAATACTGGTTGACCCGAACACAAGAACTGGGAATAGATTTGAAGGTCTCTGCGAGAGACTCGCACTGGCAACTGGGTAGGGTAGAAGCTCATGGCGCCATTTTGAAGGGGATGTTAACTAGGACGGATGTAGAACGTCCAATCAACAATGCCGAAACCTTCAGGAAAGCCCTCATCCAAGCTTGCCACGCGAAAAATACTTTGACAAGGAAGTCTGGATACTCACCTGAACAAGCAGTACTGGGAATATCCTCTCGTTTACCTGGGTCAGTGATTTCCGATGAAGATGCCAATAGCCATGCAAAACTAGTTGATGAAGGGAATGTGACTTTCAAGGAAACCCTGGACCTCCGAGAAACGGCTAGGAAAGCATTTGTTTCAATGGACAATTCCAACAGCTTGAGAAGGATTATGCTACGTAGAAGCCGCCCTATGAGAGCAAATTTTGAGGTTGGGGACTTGGTTTTGTATTGGCGTAGGAAAGGAGGTAACATGAGAAGAGAAAGGGGACAATGGTTTGGACCGGCGCGGGTTGTGCTGGTTGAGAGCAAACGGGTAGTTTGGTTGGTCCATGCTCACCGGTTGGTTCGCGCCAGCCCTCAACAGTTGCGAGCGGCCTCGATGCGGGAATGGAAGGCAGTTCGGGATACAGAAGAATTCAAAGTTCCAACAAGAGAATGGGCTAGAAAGATTGGTCACCAAGATTTTTTTGACTTGGACCCCGAAGATCTTCCAGAACCGAGCGAAAATGAATATACTCTTAGCAGGTCCTAGCATTCTGCCTGGAGAATTCGAGGTTCATGAGGACAATTCAATGCCCGAACCTGAAGAAGAAGCCACTGCTCCGACCATTGGTTCAATGGGCACCGGTGAAAATGTTCCCACAGATGGTGTTGATGTTCCGGTCCCTGATGATGGATTCTTTGGTGACACGATCTATTTTCAGGACCACTTCTGCCAGAACTGGGAAATTGACATCACCCCTTTATGTGATTTTGATCAAGAACAGTTTGCAACGCCCGATGGGTATGTTTTGGCAGCCGTGAATGAACGAAAGAAGAGGACTGAAGTGAGATTGAAGGAGTTGTCCCAGGATGATCAGAAGCTGTTCGCGATTGCCAAACATAAAGAACTAAAGGCGTGGTTGCAGCACAGAACGATACGGAAAGTTGCACAAGGCAAGATTCCGGAACACGCCATAATGCGCCGCAGGTGGCTTTTTGTTTGGAAAAGTCCCAATGGGAATGAAGATCCATCAGAGCTTTCCAAAGATGGCAAGAAGGCTAAGGCCCGTCTGATTGTCATTGGGTATGAAGATCCAAACATAGACGAGGTAGTGAATGATGTTCCAACCCTTTCAAAGGGGGATGGCCGTATGGTTGTGTTACAAGATGTTGGAAGCCACCAGTGGCCGTTGATTTCATTTGATATATCTAATGCATTCCTCCACGGAAAAGAGGATGGCAGACCTCTTGGAATCATCCCAACTCCTGAGATGCTGAGATGCGCGATGCATTAGGAATGGAGGAGACAGACCAAGTTCAACTGGATGGTGGAGCCTATGGTCGAATCGATGCATTTGTGGTTTTGTGAATTTCGGGATGAACTCCTCCAACAGGGATGCAAACAATCACCACTAGATCCCTGTGTTTTCACATACCATGTTGGCGGTGTTCTGGAAGGGTGTTTGGGTATTCATGTAGATGACGGGATTGGTGGTGGAAGTCCCAAGTTCATGACCATGTTGAAGAAAGTGGAGGCTCGATTTAAGTTTGGAGCTTTTGAGACTGGGGACTTTACATATACGGGGATCCGTTTCAAACAGTGGGACGACTTTTCAATTGAGTACGACCAGATCGGGTATGTTGAGAAGATTCCACCAATTTCTCTAGGGAAGGGGAGACGTGACGACCCGGAATCCCTGGTGACCGAAGATGGAAGAACCAGTTTCAGAAGTCTTAATGGAGCACTCCAGTACGCAGCTGTTCACAGTCGACCAGATTTAGCAGCTAAAATTGGGGAATTGCAAAGTGAGGTCACAAGAGCTCGTGTGAAGCATTTGATTTTGGGGAATAGGGTTCTTGCTGAGGCAAAGCAGCACAGAGTGTCCTTGATGGTGCTGCCAATCAATCCAAAACACGTGACCTACTGTGCGTTCTCTGATGCCTCATTTTCATGTGCCAAGCATACCACTGCTCACCAGGGAACAATAATTTTTGTTACGACACCAGAGATGTTGGAAAACCAGAAGGCTGTTGTTGCTCCAGTGGCTTGGTACTCAAAAAAGATCCCAAGGGTCGTGCGAAGTACTTTAGGAGCCGAAGCCGCAGCACTGAGCAATTCCGCAGATCGTCATTTGTGGTTGAGAGTGCTATGGGCCACACTTCTGAATCCAGATTGCAATTGGAAAGAGCCTGAGAGGCCACTAGCTGAGGAAAATTCTGGTGCTTTGGTAACAGACTGCAAATTAGCGTACTGCCATTCCACAATGCTCCGAACACCGAACGACGATCGAGTGCTTACTCATAAGAGAGAGGCTCCGGAACAACGCTGTGGTACGATGGGTTAGTTCCCAGGCCATGTTAGCAAACTGTCTCACGAAAACCATGGACAGCAGTGTGTTGAGAGTGTTTGCGTACTGGTCAATACGCCTTGAGAGATGAGACCTTTTTGTTGAAGGAGAGGTTGAGTGCCAGGGAACGACTCAAGTGGGTGAAACAGCACCGACCTGAGAATGATCCACCGAAAGATGAAATAGCCATGATGATGAATGAATCCGGCAAGTACAAGCATGAAAGCGATTTTTGGCAAAGAGGAGACCATGGAAAGATAATCCGAGTGCATGTAGTTCCAAGGTTTCAGTTGTTTACTCCTGTGGGGTCAATGGACTGTCCTATAGAGTTGAAAAAGCTTGAGGCCTACCGGGACACTTTCCGTCAGGGGGGTACAGGAGAGAGGGACTATTGGACGGGAACGAATGCACATCGGAGAACAACGTTTCCATGGATAGGCGAGACCGTTTTTCATGAGAAAATAAAACTTTAAGCTGTGTCAAGCTCGCTAGTTTGGATCGGACGGTCTCGCAACGGCTCCTTGGTTGTTCAAACCCACTATCTCAGGGAAAGATTAACAATATATATGTATATATATATATATTTCGGCATTTGTTGCTGTATCACATCCTTAGAACACTAGCATTCTTGCCTGGTCTGCTTTGGAAAAGTTGACCGAAAGGCATTGACCAGCTCGGTGACTGCGGAATTCGGCCACAGCTTCGGCATGTCAGGAAATTCAACGTCCTGAGCTTGCACAACTATCCATTGCAATGGGTGTTGTCGGAGTGCCATGTGGATTTATCTACTCAACCAAACCCGGATCTAAATGGCTCTGCTCAAAGTTCGCCCCCTGCCAGGCCGCTTGAACTTGCACAGCATTTTTGAAGATCCCCACCACACCAAGACTATGAACTTTCACCAAAAATCTACAGTGCCAGTAATTTCGAAGCTATTGCATGGCCGCATGAGGGATCTCTCCCCATTCTCTTAGAGGGTCTCAACAAACCTCAGCTATGACATTTTCTGGGACAATACCTATTCAAGAGATTTCAAGAGATTGAAGCAGAATCGTGGTCCATACCACTTCCCCTTGACCGGAAAACCTAACCATCGCGGCAGACTATAGCGATATACACGCCTTCCAGTCTAGCCAATCCAGACTTTCCGGCGATGGTTTCGGTGGCTGTTTTCAGTTCTGATTTGACAGCACATGCCCAACGAACTGGGTGGCCCCTCAAACCCATCCGGTTCGCTTGTTGCGCGCGACCTGAGGCCACGCAAGCGCAAGGGGTTCGCATGCAGGCACTTGAACCGATGCACTGGCGTACGTAGTTTGGCAAACGATGGGTGCACATGACCAACCACGGAAGTCCTTTATGCCTGATTAACCACTTGTGACAGGCACGATCGATTTGTCGTGGTCTGCCAGGTGTCTAAGGCCTTGATGATGTCTAATGACTCTCCCTGCCGTTTTCCTGATGGCCACTGCAGCTGGGGCGTTTGTCCACCGATCCAGGCTGCTCGTGAGCCATAGTTGTCCACCAACACTGTGGTGTAATCCAAGCCTTTGGCCTTCCGATGTGTTGAAAGTTCCACTGATGCGAATGACTCGAATACAAGAAACATCTGCGAATGTGTCTGTGCACAACCTTGAAAGATGGCATTGGCTCTGCAAAGACTACCCTGTCCACGCCTCCAAAGCCAGCCATACGCGCTCAGAATAAGGGCACCAACCATTCCTCTCACGAAAGAGCACGAGGCCTCACAAGGAAAATCGAAACAGGCGAGGACCCAAACAAAGGATTTCTCCATGGATGTCAAGGGTTCTTGATGCAAGGCACGAGCCTCCTGAAGAGCATGAGCAGTCAGCCCAGGTTGAACCAGCCCTGTCGACAAGTGGGCACCTTGGAAGGCTTAGCTACAGCAACCCCGAGTGGCAGACTGCCCACTCGAAAGGTCTTGCAAACGTACACCACTTGTGAAACAATCACCAAGGACAGCGCCTAACGTGAACCAAACAGTCACCCTTTTCCCCAACTCACCTTCCATTGTACTTCTTCTTTCAAACAGCACGACCCCAGCCGTTCAAGTCGTCCCAGTTCCCCTTTTTGCACGACGGCGTGGAGAGGCCCCCACAGCGATTCTTGCGTTCTTTTCCTCGCGCGCGCGATCCGCCTTTCAACTCTGGCTTCTTCGGCTGCAGCACCGAGTCAATGATCTGCGGCTCCGGGACTTGGCTACATGGCAAACGCGCCTCACGGAAGCAGCCCGCAAGGTTGGAAAATGATTGTCTCCTACTCATTGGATCTCATTGGTCGCATTTGGTTACTATGTTTTGCTGGCCCTGAATCGGCAAAAGTGGACAAACATCTCTTCGAATCATCTCGCCGCTTTATGCTTGACAATCTCATTGACAATCTGTTTCCGGAGGGCCCTGGATTGACAACAGGTATTGTCATCCAGAACTGGATTGTTTGGGCCATTCACACTGATCAACTTCGGCTTTTGCTCTAGACTGAGAGTCCAAGGCTGGAGTGATTGGGTGTCGGTGTGGACGCACTGGCGAAAAAGGCGTTGAGACAAATACTTAGATGCTCCAGTCCATACATGGGAAACATAATTCTTTTTTTGATTCTATTTCAAAAGGTATATATATATGTATATCTAGCTGTTAGCATCTGTTAGCTCTCAATGTTTCGAGATTGACCCTCTGAGCGCCTCGAGCTCGGGCCAGCTCAATACGCGACCTTAGCACGTGAGGTGCAACGTATTCAGCAGGCCCGAGCTGCACCCCCCAAAAAGCACACACAGCAGCAGTTCTTGGCGATTAGCAGGCAGCGTTGGTAAGCCAAAACTTTCTTGATCACGCCAAATGCAAGATTGTGATGCTTAAAGCCCAGCAAAAATGGTGCGCCAAAACCTCACAGGCTTTCAGTGCAGCATGTTCGGTTGCTTCAGCTATTGAGCATTTGATCTGATTCAGCTATTCAGCTGTTTCAAAGACGAGTGGCACTGGATTCTTCTGATTTTGAACTCTGTCGGATTTGAGCGGCATCCTGATGCTGCAAACTAGACACTCAAGAATCACCGCCTTCTCCCCAAAAACAACAGCGCCCGTCTGTTTATTGGATTCTGTAGTGAACAAATGTGAACGGACTCTGGCCTTTCACGATGAAATGCGGGGATACCTGGCCCTGTATGCCTGCCTTTCCAACATGATCCACGAGCCACACCGTTACTGAACGGTACTGTGACATGGTTCGATGAAGTTCGACACTACCATCAAAAACAAATAGGCTTGCCTAAAGAAGCCTTATTTTTTCTTGTAGTAGAAAGGAATCGCGTACCTCATGAGCCAGGAGCCTTCAAAAACAATCTTTTTCGTCTCAGGGTTTCTAGACTTTCGGCGAGGCTCAACACCTTTCCCACCGTGCCCTTCCAAAGCAGAACCGTCCTTGGAAGACCTGAAGAGGGCCGCAAAACGCCTTGTGCAAACGTCAACTGTTCGATAGCACTGGTTTCTAGAGACGTATTCAAATGTTGGGATTTGCAATCCATGTGCTAGTGACAATGCAGCAGGGCTCTCGCCACAAGGACAGGCTCTGGGTGGGCAAGTGCTTCTGGGTAGAGAGTTCAGGCGCAAATGAGGTATGAGAACGTTGATTTGGTCACATGTCTTGCTCTGTGGAAGGAGAAGACCCATGCAATTTAAAGGCATACCTAGGCCATCGGATTCGTGATAATGTCCAAGATAGAATGATGATAGAATGATAGAACTTCAAACTATTCTGTTCATTGCGATCTTCTATTTCTGGGGTCGATGATTACTGTGAAACCAGTTCTAGAGGGCGAAGGCCTCACTGAAACAAGGATAACTCGTTTCGCCCTGTGAACCTCGGAATCGACCAGTGTGGAGGGAGACTCTAGTAAAAAGAAGCTACCAGTAACAAGGGGCATCGCTACTGGAGCAAGGACGCTACTAGTAACAAAGGGCATTCTCTATTTCCTGTCGAGCATGTCACCTGCGGTCCATTCAGCGCTGCCAGGCCGAGTAGGCTGAAAGCTGCCAGCACGCGGTGATGACGTGGCGTCACGGTCGCCATGATCACAAAGGTGGATCTAAATGAGGGAACCCAAGGGCCCCCAAATCACTTACTTCAGTATGGGCAATATTCACAGGGGAGGCACACTCCTCATCGTTTCTTTTTTTGAGACCCTCACCACTCAAGAAAACCCACAGATCAAAGCATCACCAAACTGAAAAGTGAAACCTTTTCGTGTCTCTGGCAGAAAATTTTTATCACCAATGTACTCATAAATGTTCTGAACTCCTTATGAGTTGTGCGCATTGATGCATGTTTTTGGGAACTCTTCCACGTGTGCTCAATAGGCCGTCAAGAGGACACTCATCGAAACAATGAGCCCTATTCCCTTCTGTAGCTATTGCTGAAAGACAACTCAGATCTAGCAACGCGGTCCACACATATTATGTTGCTGAAGGAACAATGCAAAACACCAACTCAATTTTGTCTGCCAATCTCTTAATTTCCATACTTTGGCGTTCCTTTGGCAGTACTGAAAGCTGTAGCAAGCAGCGGGCGGAACGACACCATCTTAATTAGGTCATTGAAAAACGCCATCAATCGTTCCCTTCAACCATATTGTAGATGATGTCCATCTTTCTTCAACACCCTTGCAGTTTATACGGGAACTTATTGCTTTCCTAAGGGCTGTTCTGTGCAAACAATTAGGCAGTGGGTTGGTCATTCCTATCGGCTCTAACCATGAAGCGTGTCCAGTCTGAAAATGGTGGCAACATGTGGCAACGTAGGATAGACCATATGTTGGAAATGTTCACATCAAAAAGAACCCTCTCACCAGGGCACAAGAATGAACGGTCACCAGTTGTTATATTTCTGTTGTATGATTGAACAGTTACCCACAATACTTGCCGTCCTTTCCTCCAGGCCGCTGTGCTGTTGAACGCGAGAAGAACAAGTGCTGAATGAACATTGTAAGATAAGAAAACACAACGACTCGCAAAAGGTTCGGCGGCCACTTTTGGCCGCCTTTCATTGTGCGTCGACTCCGGAAATAGGTTGAACTTCCCATGCACTGCTGGATATCCATATTGGACCTTGAAAGTCAATAGGTTTTGACCCATCCATAGTTCAGTTCTTTGCATCGAGGCAGGAGTGTTGATACATCGCGGCTTTCACACGTCCGCTCTTTTTTCATAGTTAATTTCGATTGCTGCGATGATGTAGCCCATCTGAATAGGCTTAGGACCGGGATGCCTCAATGTGCCTCCGGGGCCACGAAACGACTGGTTGTGATGATGCTCTCAGGATCATCCAAAAGGGACTTTGGGAAACGTTTGTGAGACCTGCACACTGAGAGCTCTGATAAGCTTCTAGTTACATTCTAGTTTACATCAGCAAACCAACATCCAGCCTCGCCGACCACAATTCCATCATCAATCAGCTCCTGTCGCTGCAGCAGATTGTTCAATAGAAACAACAGCTTAGAAATTGAGCTACCCTGTTCCTAAGCTGCTGTTTCTATTGAACAATATTCTTCTAGAATTCCATCATCAATCAGTTCCTGTGGCAGCAAACAGAGTAGCTCTTGTATGTGATCACGGAGCGAACATCCGACCACAAAGAAACACATGTTCCACGAATTGCCTGGATGTCAGGAACGACTTGCGGAGCAGCTTTGGAATCCTGGCGATGTGAGTCACTCGGTGGAGCTGAATGTGGGTTACAAAAGCTGGATACGTAGCCATCAATGAATCAATGCTCCCTTTAGCTGAGATTGGATACGATGGGAGCTAGCAGTTTCAAAGTAACTTAGTGGATGAGAACGTTTTGAACAACTCAAATTACCTGGTCATTAAACTTTGAAAGCAAATCTGCTCCAGGTAAGTCACTCACGAACCTGCCTGAAACCAGGGATGTTCCAGTGCAGCTGCAGCTGTTGGTCTCTGGTTCTCTTGGTACCTCATGTCGCGGCCGCGTCCTTCCAACTGTTCACAATCGACGGGCGAGATGTCCTAGCTTTTCCCAAGTAACCTGCACTAGCATACGATGTGTGCGGATCCCCACCAAGTCACATTTAACACAACCCGCTGCACAAAGGAACAATTCTAGCCAACCCTGGCAAAGGAGGCGGTAAGCTGTTTTGCACTCTATATAGTCAATCTGATTTGTCATTTTTGCTCACTCCCAAAGACATCCAAAGACCCTGGACGGCGAGTTCTGAGACTCCCGGACGCCAGCATTCTCATGACCTCGGCGATGAAGGAGTTGTCTACAGCGTTCAGCACTCTGCCGGGGCTTTGCCGGAGCTCTGAGCTCGTGGCGAGATCGCAGGCGTCGGCATGCTCCTGGAAGACTTCCTTGGAGAAGTCCACCTGAGCGTCACAAGGGAGCTACGAGATGCTATGAGTGCTATGCAGTCAAAGGAAAGGCCCTAGTGAGGTGAGCCTTGGTTTACTTCGACACGGCTGAGACTAGGCAGTCAAAGAAACACTTTTTTGGATGAACTAATTCTCGAATTGCTGAACCACCCTCCCAAAACAATGCAAATAATGCAATGATATAGTAATTTCTATGAATTTGCAAAGGCATTTCACATTCACGGAATCCTTTATCTTTGAGTTTGCAAGGACTCACAAGGGGCTTGTGAGCTGAAGATTTTAGATGACTGACTGACCCTCAATAGGAGGACGCAGCATGCACATATCGGAGGCTCTCTCAATCAAAAACACCTTCATATCACAGCAAAGGCTCTGGCAATCTTGCAAAAATGGAGACTGCTGAATTCTCATCTTTTTCAATTTGATCTTCCCAATGGAAAAGTGAGCCATCGGTACCGGGTGCCGACTACTAGACTACAGCCTAGTCCTTTCCAAGGACTCCAGCGCCCAATGCCCACGACCCCCGGGCCTTGGCCACCTTCAGCCTTCGCCGAATCTGGGCCATCTTGGGAGAGCCCACCCAATTCTCGCCAGCCTGACGACCGGGACCGGTCACCGAAGGTCCAAACGAACCGCAGGACAGGAAACGTCGTACAGGATCCCCGCCTCATCGTCGAACATGTCATCGTGAAACGGAAATTTTCCTGTGGCTTTTGCAGTTTGCACACTGAATTGGAAGCAGTCTATCAAGTTGAATCAAATATGAGATCACGTAGGGCCAAGAAAACACACTTTCACGAGAACACCCTTGAACAGTCCTGTTAGAAGTCTGTACAGAATCACCCCACACGCAAAAATGTCGGAGAGAGGTGAATACCTGCAGGAACAAGTGCATCGCTACTAGTAACAAGTGCCTTACTAGTAGTAACAAGTGCCTTACTACTAGGAACAAGGACGCTACTAACGAACCGAAGAACACACAATCTTGCAGGATCTTCCAAGAGCCAGAAGGCAACTCAGCTGATATTTGGCGCACTTGCCCGCATAGGCTTCCTCAAAGCATCATGAGATGTGGGTCGCTCTTTTCAATCCGTCCATCATTTTGTTGACTTGACATGGACTGCACCGAGACATTCCAATAATCATACACTGTGTTCTGTCTCACCTGTAATCTTCGTATCAGGACCAATCAGTTCGCCCATCATTACAGTTGCTCAAGCCTGCTGGAGCAAGTTCGATTGCGGTACGACAGTGCTCGAACGCCTACTGGGCTCGAACGGCTACTGGAAAGGCTGGGCTTCTGGCCTGCGCTATGTATTGATCGGTGCCAACCACGTCCTGCCGCAACAACTCACGGACTTGCTGCCACGGCGAGAGCTTGATGTGTGTCCTTCACCATCTATGGCTCCAAATGAAGAATTTGGGTAGGCCCAAAGGTTACACATTGACTCACCTTCGCAAACCTTTTTAACCAAACTCGAACATGATGCCAGAAAACTTGAAGAACTTTTTCCAACAGAAAACTTGGATGCCTCTCAAGAAAGAGAGATGAATCTGACCCTGAGAAGAGCTTGAAAGTTATTGTCAACATTGGTAAGCACGACAGTTTATGTGGACACAAATTATGTCATCTGATTTCCGGCCACCCACTTCCATTATTGCCTATGTCAAATAAAAGACTGCTTCACTTATGCCAATTCCATACCAGCGACCGAGAGAAGGGATGCTACCACGCCCCAAGCCTTTGCCGTGGAACCTGACGGTGTCCATGATTCCAAGGTGTCGAAGTCAATCACCTTCGGTCGGAACGTCCGATTCCACGTTTGATCCCGCAAGCAAACCGTCGGAATGTTCTGTCTGGGGGTTTTGGTGTCGGAAAGCATGGCTTTATCTGTGGCGTCCAGTTTGAGCCTTCATTGAGTGGGTACTGCCCCATTTCACACCTACCTCCACCACGACATAGAACAAATTCCCAGGCTCCATGGAAACGCACAGCAATGTTCGGGCTTGGCAATTGTAGTTCTTCGTGAGCAATGCCCTTTCCAGCTGAGGATTGCCTTTCTACCTTTCTTCCTGGAAATTGGAGGCAGCGAGGCATTTTGCGATTGGTTTTTGATTTTACTCGCCCACCCAGCTTTGCCCACATAAGGGCGGCTATGCAGAAGCGGTGTGGGGAGCTCTGCGGGTCGTTTCTTGAAACACGAAATCTGGGGTTGAAACATGTTGAAACCTATGCCAAGGTCATGAAACTCCGGTTCAGGCACACCATGTAGAACTATAGAAAGACCCGCCAACCTCAAACAACTAGGCAAGGCCAAACAAACATTCGCTAAGCCGTTCCGCAGACTCCTGTATGCCGCGTACAAAGGAGCATGAGGAGCATGGGAAGCAGTTGAGCTTCGGACCTTCACGGCTTGAAGGTGTGAACCTGACCTGAGAAGTTCTCGTCGAGAACGAAGACTTTTCACCACGTTAGCAAAAACAGAGACGAAGGATCGACTGACATTGATGACGTTGCTGATGATGCTGTTGGTGCAAGCTCAAAACAAACCTTTAGTAGCACACAAGTCTAATTTTGTGGATGTTCATAGACCAACAAAATTTCCAAAATCTCTTCCTATATCAACGATTGTTCTTGCATAGACTTGCTTGGATCGCAACAGTGATTTCGACTTTCCGCTCAATGCATCTCCGCAATCCACCATGACATTCTCAAGCTTCAAATCCTGTGGCAACGTGGCACGTGCGAAGCATCCAGAATTACGTTGCAGGAGTGGTGTGGATGAAAGAACTCTTTGCAAACAGATTACGCGCCAAAGCCGAGGAAAATGCCTGCCTTGTGGACTGCACAATGTGCATGCAAGAAGACTAAGGACCTGCGCGTGCTCAGGTCGGTCGGAACCGACATTTTCACGTGAACCTGCAATTCAAAACATGATATGTCTAAACCTAAACTCCAGTCGTGCATATTACATATATATGTCTAAAAACATTAAAGTCTTTCCTTCTTTCACAAGTCTGGATCTCTCAAGGAACTTGAAGCAATCAAAAAGTCATCCATTCAACGACCCCAGAATCATGCTGGGGCGGCTCTAAAAGGTGACGCATGATCTCCCGGGTGGTCGCCACCTCAGCTGTGTTTGGTTGAAAACGAGAACAACACCCGGATGGCTTGGGTTGCCACACGCTGGGCACTTTGAAAAAGGATTGAGGGATTGCCAACCCAAAGGGTGCACGGTTTTCTGACAGTTGTTTTCTGGCGCTTTTGGACAAATGGAATAGATACACCAAATGATACCAAATGCATACAAATGCAACACATGCAAAAAAAAAGGCTGAACCAATCATCGCCCAGGCTTGCTACAAGTCGTGTCACCAGCGACCCCGAGGACACCAACGGCTTCTCCTGTGGGTTGGGAGGTCTAGGTTTTCCTGCCGGGATCTTCCGCATGTGTTCCAAAGTCTCGAAGAGATCCAGGCCATCGACCTGGCAGACCATTTGCCGTTCTGGGAAGCAACGACAGCAAATCCTGCAGGGACCTGAAGGACTCGCAGCAACTTGGTGCCGAAATGGATTCGAGGATTTGGCCAGGAGATTTGGATTCCTGCCGATCTCTCCTGTTGTCTTTGGATTGAATGTATGCGGTTGCACCAAGAATACCGTCCTTTCCCGCCTTCTCCATCACGATGTAGAAGGCCGTTGGATCCTGGACCCATCGGTGCATAACGCTACAGCCCTGATCCTCTTGTCGTAACCTAGCTGCTTACTTTCCAGTTTCTCTCTGAGACAGGTAGCAGGTGTGTGCTTTTGATCTTGATGACCAGTTTCGAAAGTCCATGGAAGTGCAAAAGTATCTTCGACAATTCCACGCGTTCTTCCTGTCAGAATTGTGGGAAGGCGATGGCATCCTCTAGCTAGCAGCTAACACCGAACCCCAGGATCTCAACCCCCATGCAACCCAACTCCAAGTCACTCGGTTCTCTCCAAAGTCAAGCAGCAAACCACAAAGGGGTTTGGAAGTTGGTTCTGCTACAACAAAGAAGTATGGCCTGTCTGTTTGAGGGCTGGTATAACTTTTAGTCTATTTTGTCAAGCGCAACTCTTTCACTGCCTTCGACTCCCTCCAGGGCTGAAGTCGTTTCTTGGAACAGTCCTCCATCACCTCGTAGATTCTTGCAACGCCGATACTGTCTGGCAGGTTCAGCAAAAACCTCAGATCAGCAAGCTCCATGCCAGATCAGCAAATTAATACTACATCCAAACAAATTTCCATTGCTTTACGCAAATTTCTTCGATAAATCATCCCCAACCGTTCCTCTTTGGTACCTCTGATTTGCAAATGGTGAGTCTCCCAAATCCTTAAGCCAAGAAGTGCCAAGCTTTCGACTCGGTATTTTGACGCCAGTTCTTCTCATCCTGCGACGTGTGAAACGACTCATGGCAAAGAGGGGCAAACTGGGTGTTTCTTTCCAGGATGTTACTCAACAACATGTTTGTGAACACACAAAACAGCAATCTATTTTTGATGGTTTTACCCTTGTCTAAGATCAATTTCAGTTCTGTGCTCATCTTTCAACGTATCCCCCAACCACGTGGACCGCTGCTCCACCAAGATCATCTCCGGGCCTGACGGCTACGGAAGCAGCTGGGCTTAAAGCGGACCTTCACCACCACCTGCAGCAACGCCGCACGGCACGGATGAACGCTTGCGCTGGAGAGCTAGCCAAAACTTGAGCCAGGTCAGCAAAGGTGAAGCATCTGGAATGAGCTGGGACCAGGGAATCCGGAACCAGCACCATTTCCTGGTGGTTGGATTCCTTCAAGGCACAAGAAGGGAGGAAAAACATGATTCTGTGTGCAGAGCCTTTTGGATCACACAAAACTTTGTGAAAGGATGATCCACAGAGCACCGCATGACAACGGCAACATCTGCATGACACATGGAGCCTGAAAGGAACATCTAAGTTGTTCCCACTTTTCAACCCTGCAAAATTCTGGAGCACCAACACCCCTGCTCTGCCCTGCCCTAACGGGAAGGCACACTAAAGGAGTATCTCAGCTTCCCACACTTTTCTGTCGCTCATTTTCAGGGTCATCCATGATCCACCCTCATTCCCACGAAACTCAAATCCGTGCTGTCAGCAGGCTGTGCAGGGACACATGTCACATACCTGAAAAGCGAGATCCATGATCTAAGAACCTTGATGAAAGATCTAAGTCCAGCAAGGCGCCTGGACCAGTTTGGACCTTCTCGAGTCAAACTCCAACCCTTCCAGCCTCTTGCTTGTCAGACTTCCGGGTAGCAAAGTTCACCTGGCAAATGATGCAACAGGAAATCGGATCGCAAGTGAAACTGCAAATTGGTTAAGGCTTGTATAAAAGGTATGATCAAAAAGAGGTAGTCAAAAATCAAAGGCCTTTCAGCATGTGCCGTGTGGGGAGACACCGGTTTGATAAAATATGTTAAAATCATACTGTCTGTGAAGATCTCATTTTGTCAGCTGTAGCAGTTGGAGGTGGGATCGACTTGGTGATAAGCACTAGTAGTTAGCCCCACGGCAAAAGTGACATTCGCAGTCACTGAAGACATGCACAGGACCATTTGTCACAGTGGTTTGAGACATAGGATAAGGCGTAGATAGCTTCTGCACAGGCGCCTCCATGCACTTTGTGTTGTGCGAGGGCTTGACACGTTTCGAAACAAACATCGACATCTTCCGCAATTCATACGACACTTTGTATTTATGGAACTTTGGAATGAACTGGTTCCAACAAGTCTATCAATGAGTGCAAACGCCTGTGTATCCCTGACCAGGTCCTTGCTGAGCAGATTGCCCCCGCCCACAAAAGATAAATGATGGGTTGGTGCTGACGGTGTCTACTAATCCGATACCGATACCTCTAATTGAATAACATTCTTGCTCAGATGCTTGGCACACCTTTGCGACCCTCAAGCACCAAAGCCTAGCTGGGCCAAATGTTTATTGCCCATAGCTGAGCCTAGCTGGGCCAATCTTCATATCTCTGCTCGATCCATCCACAAGCAAATCCGTCCCTCGTTTTTCCGTCTCTTGCCTTCATGTACCTGTGGGTGGACGGCATGACCTCCTTTCCCATGTCGTAGAACTCCGCGAAGCTCGGGATCTGCTGAATGGTCCTCGCGAACAACAAAGACCGGTTGGCAGGAGTCCTGCTCTGCAGAACAGCTGGGAACCGCTGGCTACTAGGGCCGTACCTTTGGATCCAAGAACCATCCCATTAGAACTCCTGGTAGGCCTCCAAAAAATGGTCTTCTTGAGGTAGCAGTTCGTCAAAATCGCCCCAAAATGAACACGACCAGTCGACATCTTTTGTACACCTCACCTACAGTAACTATTGTCAACGGTTTTGAATCCCACGGCAGGCAAATAACCTGTGCTCTTTCGTTACTCTTTCATATCTATCTCTTCTGCAGAATCAATGTGTTCTTGGAGAGGGTTAACTTTGAGACCATCCAACTCCCACTAAACCAACCTTCCTAACCAATTTATGGCTCAAGAATGTTGAATCTTCAATTCTGAACAATTGTCAAAGGCACATTGACACCACTTGTGCAAATGGATGACTTACATTGCCGATATAAAGGGTGCTGTGCAAACTTCAGCGTGAAGAAGTTGGCAGGAATCTCATTTCTGTTGCCCCACGCCCTCTACAAGAGGGACGTTGAGCTGATGGTGACCCTTTGAGGGAATTGGAGCGTACTTTCTGTCAAGCCAAAGAGAACACACGTTCATTAATGGTCTATGGGATTGTGTAGAGTCCGCGGAGTCCCAGTAATATCTGTATGTTTCCGTTTTTGGCTTTGGCACACTAAAATGGAAGCTAATGGATCCAGCAGCAAAGCTCAACCCCCAAAACATAGAGCTCCTAAGCAAACGGTATCATCCCTATGCTTAAATTTGCAGCTATTTCACACACCAAAACAGCTTGAGCTTCATTTCAAGCAATCGCACGTGTTTATGGATACATTACTTGGGTCAGTGGTGATGTGTGGATTCCCCCAATTTCGGGAGTTCAATTGGGTGGTGCCTCAAGAAGCAGAACCACAAAGGAAACAACTCCTACAAAACAAGATCCACAAAGGTGAAGGTTTGCACCAAAAAAGATTTGCACCAAACACCATCTTCCCTGCTCCTGGATGCTGGAGGCCTGGCGCTCAAAAAACTGAGACATCTGTCCCTTCTGTAATTCAGGAAGTGCGACGTGTGAAGCAAAGACGACTGCGACGTCTGTGAAGCAAAGACGAAAAGACCGGTGACAAATGTTGTGCTCCAAATGCTCATGTTTGTGAATCGTACAGAGTCCAAAACCATGGATGCTTTATACACGTGCCTTTGCAAAAATCAGGTCCGTAGTTTTGGCAAAGCATCGTAAACCTCCGCACCAACCCAGGGCTACCATGGCCATGTCTGACATGGGCAACGCCGCGCGTGCAACAGCCACGTCTGGCTCAAATTTTAGGCAGGTCTTCCCAGAAGCTATGGTTCTCTACTGCGCATGTTCATCCCAAGTCAACTCCTTTCGAGCCACCCGGCCAAAGATTCTCTTCCAAGTAAATTCATTACAGCACACGCAGCTGTTCCCACATCGGAGTGCATCATGACCGGCTTCCCTGCCACCATAGCCCTGCTTCGCGCCTGGGTGCTGGCGGGGCCGCGCGCGTGGTGGAATGACCAATCTTCCCATAGCGAGCTTGCAGGGACTGAGCCGCCATCGCCACGAGAATTTGGCACACACTCTGCGAACCCTGCCAAGGCAGTGAACTGGAAGAAGGGTGGAAAAATACTTTATTTCTTTGAGTTCTTTTATTTGTTTGTTTCTGACATCTCCGAAACCGTGAAAGAGTCACAAAAATGCTTACAGGATACGTTGTCAGCTGCTAGTCGCTGCCTTGTCTCTTCTGTCTCATTAGTCTCCGGTCATGGCAACAGGAACTCACGATTTGAGGGTGAAACGACCTCGCAGCAGGACACTTCAAAGGCCTCACAGCTGTTCTTCGGTAAGGCTGCTAGCTGCTAGCCGTCAATGCTTTCAGTTGTCACCTTAGAACCACTTTTTACAACAAAATTCTCCAGATGAACTTGCACTGCTCTTAGAACCTTCAAAGCTTTCAAGGGCTCTTGAAACCGTCTCCGTCTCCTGCAGCGAGGAACTCCTTTGTGAGCTCTAGCCTTTGGCTGGGCGCCCTTGTGCCAAGAATCCGTGCGATCGGTGCGGTGTGCCATGGCGGTGTGCCATGGCGGTGTGCCATGGTGTCACTGCTCTTCCTCCAAAACGATCTTTCCCTCAATCTGAGACTCGATAATCGCATTCAGCTGAGATTTTAATACTTGCTTGAGGTGTCGATGATCCAAATCTTTTCGAAAACAGGTTCTCTGTGTGAAGTTCTTGGAGACACTCCGAGTGCAATGCATCCGATTCAATGTCCCGTCCCTGGCAGTTCTGCTCTTGTTGCCATTGTTTTCCATTTACCAAAGGATGGGTGGTGTGGGGGTGCTACCTTCATGCTTCTTCGCCAGGCTTCTTCACTACCCCCGGACCTCCCGGGGTGTCTACAGAAGTACCTTTTGTCTCACGCCAGTCTAGTCGCAACGCTTCGCCACTTTGGGCGGAGGCTCCTGGGGCTCCTGGCGGAACGGAGTGGAACCGATGGGAATCGACAAAGGGTAAGTGGCATCGCCTTCGGCGACTGGAGTGACAACCGAAACCATCCATTCACCTCTCCTTTGCAACCCATAAGTTATTTTGCCTGGCGGGCTGGGTCTTTGCGAAACTAATGATTTTGTCTAGGTGTGGGTAAACTCGTGTCACTTTGGGGAACACCAATGCAAATTGTCCAAGACACATGTTTCAAGTCATTGTAAGATTGCATGCGTTGAACAAAAAACTTGAGTAAACCCCAATTGATTCGACTCATGACCCACATGCACACTGACATCGCTTGATGCCTTGGAGAACCTGCGGGGTCGCAGCATGGTGCCAGCTGAGCTCATTCGAGCCTCCTCGTCCAGGCCCAAGAGTTCATTGATCAGCCTGACTTTCGGCTGGTCAGTCGGTGGATCTACACTTACCTCTGCAGCCTCTGCAGATCTAAAATTGAATGACACGACTTGCATCACTTTTGGGAACAATCAAGGTGATCTGTTCCCTTCTGATATAGATCTGTATGCCACGTCCTTCGGGTGTCTTAGTAAAACACCAAAAAAAGAACATCCCCAAGAAAACCCAAACTGCCTGAGATTCGCTCTACTGCCGGCCCTTCCACCCTGCCACCACGTACCTGGTGGCCACGGTGCTCACCAGGACGGCCACGATGGCGAAGGCCACCGACTCCACCAGTACGATCTGTTGGGCCTTCGGGGCTTCTTTTGGCCCAAAATGCGACCAGAGTTAGTGTGACAAGCGTGTGAGGTGATCGAAGCCTGAGAGTTTCTGTTCAAAGCTGGGTGCCCCTCGCTTAGACGGAGAAAAGAACATCGTTTTTGTTCGGGGTCACTTACGACTCAAACTCAGCCTGGAAAGCCAACATGGAAATCCTCCAAAGGGATGAGGAGAATAAGGCCTTTCTCAAGCAGAGCCTCCAGTTCTGCCACATTATACCAGTCATGACTTCCACAGGTGGGAGAAACTCCCTCTGAAGCAGCCTGAAACCCTTGACCTAGGTATTTCTAGGTTTTTGCCTTAGCCAAACTGGGCTTAGCCACTTGATCTTTTGCAACAACGTTCGTCGCCTGTGACTGGACCACGCTCCCATCATTGCCCACAGAGGTCAAAAGCAGCATTCCAAAGGACCTTGCTCGTGTAGGGGCGTGTGGAGTATGGAAGCTGTGTGGAAGGAAATGCGATCACAAACATGTGAGAGTACGAGGTGGGTTTGTCTCAAACAAGGAAACCACGCTCAAAACACGGAGGCCTTTGGAGGGTCCAACTTTCTTTAAAATCACACCCCTGCTCTGCTGTTGAACGACTGCTGCTCTATGAACAGGTCACTACAAAGGTAAATTCTTTTCACATTCTCGGACGAATCCTCTGATGCAGCTGTCAAAAACTATGTTCTATTGAGCAAAAGTGCCTGGGATCGCTCTTTGTCAAATTACTTCTTAGAAATCTCTAAGAACATCTCTGCAAACAAGGGAAAGCGGACGAGTCAAAATCGTTTCTGACTTGTGGGCTCTCCAAAGAGTCTTGATGGACCCAATCGGCATCATGATCAATCACCCTAGAAGGTCATCCCTTTTGTAGGACTGCTGTTGGGATTGGCTCGCTCCCCCAATGGTGCAACTTCAATCTCCCACTTACTTCATCAACAATCCCGAGAAACTCAATACTTTGTCGACCGCAGTTGTGCTGAGCGGTGGTGATGTTGATGAGCTCCACACTTTGTTGACGCCCCAAACACAAGTCCCAAGATGTTTACCACACTTGTCACCAAGAAGAAGACTTGCCGTCAGTCTGTGCTCAGCTTCCAGTTCATCAGCCAGTTGACAAAGCAAACGAGAAATACAGGCATTTCATGCAGTACTCCAATGAGCTGCTTCAAGGACAATGTCCTCATGCTGAGGCTGAAATGATCCGGTTGTGCACACCGCAAAACGGCTGGGGCACCCTACGCGTCCAGGAAGGCCTGCGCTCTACGCTCTGCAAGCACTGCAACGCAACTTACGCCTTTTTTTTTCCAACCAAAGAGCTCAGAATGCATTATAGGAACAAGAAGCTACTAGGGGCTCCTGGCATCGCTACTAGGAGCAAGGACGCTACTAGGGGCTCCTGGCCGTACTACTAGGAACAAGAGGACACTATTGACAATTTCCTCCTAGCCGAGTTCCAGTGCAAACTTCTTGGTGGCGCACCACACATCTCTATATCCCTTTTTGTAATGTCTCGCCGCGAGCTATCCTCCTCATGACACATGTCATCCTTTTGGCTTCGTGTGGTACAGTAACATGGTTGGATAACTCTTCGTCTGTCCAAAAACACATATTAGTATATACAGCACAGGAAAGGGTTAAGGTGTTTGCAGATGTTCAACATTTGTGCTTGGCTCATTCTTGCACTCTGCAGTTTAGACATGGTCCTGACCGTGTTGCAGTTGTGTGGGAAACCAACCGTGGTCCATGAACAAAGGCGCCATGCTGAGCTTTGCGTGGGCTTCTTCTGGGCAGGCTTTAGCACATCTTACTTGGAGACGTTGCTTTTTCATCCAGTCCAAAGTACTTTCTCTCTGCTTTCGGGTTCTGTTCTTTGGTCTGCCACTGCAGGGCCCATGGTGATGCACGCCGTTTCTATATACTATGTTGGTGCTTGGTCTTTTCCCAGTACGTGGGGAACCATGCAAGCAACTCAGACCACTGGGCCATTGAGGTAGCTGATTATGAGGCTGAAATGCAGACTTGTGCCATGCACTCTTGGGAGACCTGGCCGCAAATGCAGATAATGCAGCGAAACAGACCAGTGTTGCATACGCTTCGTAAACTTGGCTTGCGAAGGCCAAGCCTGTGAGCTTTTTTGGTCTTCCATCACTAATTTTGGCCTTTCACGCACAATGCCGTGGATGGAGCCTTGGGGATACACAGGTTGAGTCTAACGATGTTTTAGCTATAGCGCTGGTATTGTCTTTGTCAAACATGCTGCTAGTTGTCGCCTGTCAAGCAGCTTTCGTACGACCTTAACGTCACCAACTGCGAGCCTTAGCCTTCCAACTGCATTGCCGTACATGCAGGCTTGTCGGTGGTTGCATTTGGCATTTTCTTTTTGCAACTATTTTGCTGAAATAATGGCCCTCATCAACCCCATGAGAAAAACAGCTCGGAGTGCTTTAGTTGTTAGAGTGAGATAGTTTTCCTGCCTGATTGTTTGCTTTGGTAGCTTCTTCTTGACAAAAAGATTGCTCTCATGAGAACACCTTTAGTCGGCGCATAGTTTTTCTCATTCAAGTAGCTGGCGTGCCCTGCCTACAAACAGTGTCAACATGAAACAAGGTCAGGACTGTTTCCTCTTTTCCAAGATCTGAGTCACTTTGGACATTGGTTGGACGAAAACAAGTCTACTCAGGATCTAAGACCAAGATCCACATTTCGCATTCTGCACGCCCCAGGTAGCAAAATTGGCACAGTGCAAGTGCAAACCTGCAATTTGCAGGTGTGTTCTCCACCTCTTGTAAGATGACAGGGGTTCCATGTCCACAAAGAAGGTGACCAAATGTGTTGTTTTGCCTCCAGTTGGAACAGCAGGAATGAACTCTGCCCAACATGTTGAAAGTTTCATGTCCGCAAACCCCGTACCGTTCTGGCAGGTGGCTGCCGCACCCTGCTTCGGTCCCCTGCGCACCGTCTTCAAGCACCCAGCGAAGTGCGCAGCAGCAAAGTCCCAAAGCTCCACGGGTAAAGCACCCAAGAGGTACCTCAGAAGGTGGACGATCCCCTAGTAGCTTCTTGCTCCTAGTAGCGATGCACTTGTTTCTACTAGCTTCTTGTTTCCCAAAAGTTTACACATCAACTATTTTTAAAGCCGTGACCCTGCCTCCTTACTTGATCAAGTAGGCGCCTGCTTGCGTGAACAGTCTTTTTATGGCCACGGCACCATTCAACCCTGAGGTATCTGGCCGGTGGGGTAACACCTGTGGGTTGGGGGGCCCTGAAACGACAGATCATTCAATTCAAAGCAGCCTGTGAATTGGAAAGCCAAGCTGAGAGAGGTTCACTCCCATGTCTGGACTGTTTGGAAGAGTCAGCTGTCAGCTAAACCTTTGAAGAGGCTGAGACTCCAAGACTCGGCAGCCAGTTTTTTTCCCGATGAAACCATGGACAATTTGGATAACATTGTGATTGATATGCCAGTGAAGGCTAAGTACAGCAGAACGATTTGAATTGCAGATCTGTGGTTTTGTATTGGACAACAGGAGAGGGGTGGGTCACAGGGAGCAATGTTGATGTTGATTTTTGCAACATGTTGTGTAATGATGTTATATACTAAACAATTTGATTTAATGTGCAATAATGTGTTCATATGTTTGCTATATTTTCCTATTTTGGATCATGTACATAGAAATATACGTTTTCAGCACAGCCAACTGGCAAATGCTAAGACCGCTTGTTTGAGCTCACTTTTCTCATGAATCTGGATAACCTCAAGTCTTCTTCCCCCGCCCCCAAAAAAAACACTCCAACCACTTGGCTGTGGCTGGGCGCCAATAGGAGTCGAAGGGGATTGGCAACACCGGCGACAAGCGCAGCAAGAGCGACAGCCGGGCGCCATCCTCCTTGACTGGCGCAGTGGTCAGTGGGTGGTTTCATAGAAATACACAATTGCTTCTCCAACACCAAAGGAGTATATACTCACCGTAAGAGTGCAAGTCCTCTCATCTTCAGCAGTATATATGTGATACCGTACCTTGCTTGTCTCTCAAGCATCCTGGTCTTCAATTGTGCCATGGTCAATACTCCGTTTGTGGACAATGGTAATCTACCTTATGCCAGGGATTCTTGATAATTTCCATATACATCCCCAATAAACTCATGACCATGCCCAACATAGGTACTAGTAATAACTCACCCGCTTAACAATGACTCAATAGCAAAAAGTCCTAACCCACTGGTACCCTTCAACCGCTGGTTGGTCTTGTGCGCTTTCCGTCATCTCCCCCTCAGTGGCGGAACAGGGCAACAGGACATGGAGGAATTGACCGAGCACAGCTTGTGGATCCCTTGGTCTACCCGGTCTAGTTGAACGCAAACCTACAGAGACTACTCCGCTCCGACATTCGACCGAACCCCAAGACTCCTTGGCAGCCTTCTGAAGTTTGTTGAACCAAAGCGCTTTGCCCAAGGGCTCGCTGCCAAAGACAGAGAAACCCTCCAATTTGTCCTGGGAAGTCTAGGAGAAACAAAGTGGTCCTGCAAACACTTTTTCATTGGCAAATGTAGACTTTGATTCGAAGGACCTCCTTTTTTGAGTTCGGAAAATCTTCTCAAACACATTTCGGAGGCTGCAGGACAGAACGAGCCTTTGTCGGAGGGAGATCCCAACATATCTTCAAGTACAAAGCTAAACCACCGTTTGTTGACGCATACCCGAGTTTTGCGTTGCCAAGAACAAAGGCACCTTGTGTTCTTTGGAGCTGGTCTTGTGCAGAAATACGGCCGAGAGCTGGTTAAAGTGTCATGCATCCGTTCGGAGGTGCTGCAGGTGCAAATGTGACAGTGGCAAAAGTGTCATTCAACTACGGAAAGCGAATGCCGCTGGCTTTTATGGCGACAAACCTTCATGTGTAAGGCCCAAACTGAGCACCTTTTCTGCGGTAATACTACCTCGGACACCCTTGTGATACCATCCGCTGCGCGCAAGACCGACGTAGGGATTCAGAATATGTTTGGTGGCGCAGTGGGAGAGTGTTTGGATACCTGTGGCAGGGTTCTCTGACTTGAAGACATACGGATTGCAACAAATGTCACAAACGGGAGCTAGGGGATCTCCTGAACGTGGTGATTATGTGATCCTATCCGAACCTGCATAGAGACAGGTGAGGTGGGTTTGTCCCGAGCGCAGTTCCTGTATCAACCCACTTGTACTTGAACCCGGTCAAACAGCTCCATTGGCAACTTGGCCATTGACACTTTTTTACATCTTCAGGAATGTTCATAGCTAAGCAAAGAGATGGATCATTCATCAGGTAGTGTGAGTGAACGATGTGTTCGCACCTCCAACCAAGAAATGACAACTAGGTTTCAAGTGAGGCAACATAGAAGGGTTCAAAGGGCGAAAAGGGCAGCGGAAAGCCACCGCACTTGGCTCTTTTGGCTCTTTAGTTTCCAGGCGACAAAACCAAACACAAACATCGGACTGAATTACCAAGACGGATTGAAACCTGCATTGGATGTCCCAGATGGTGTTGAGGGGGAAGATCCATCAAAAGGACCTGCCATGTAAATTTGAGATCTTCCAGAATTAATGTATTTATGGGCCCCCTCTTTGTTTACTGCGGGAACCTGCCCTTCAACTTTCAATAAAGGGGCCTGTTATTTTTGGTTATATAGAAATAAGGCGATTAATTTCATTGCTTGATTGAAGGTCGGCAATATTCTCATTGAGTTCTTCCAATGTTTCTGTTATTTACGTCTTTTCTTCACGTACCGTTTCAGTTCTCAAAACCTTTTCTTCTGGTTCAAATGTGTTTTACTTGTTGCATCTTTTCTATCCTTAGGCCATTCTTAAGAAAATTAAGCCAGCATAGACCCCAAACAGTTTAAACATTGTTTTTTGGTGTCAACTCCTTGAGTTGGTAGTCACGTCCTTATTGAGAATGGTGTGTAAGCAAAACATGTTACGACAAATAATTCCTGATTCCCGAGGTTAAATGTGCAAACACGAAGGGGTATTAAGTCATAAGAAAATGCGAGGATGATATCACACAAGGCGGTGGTAAAAGGGCCGACAACCAGAAAAGCAGGACAGCAGACTTGAGGCCTCGACAAAGCCCTCACAGGGCGGAGCAGAAAGGCCCACGGCACCAGGCCAGGCCTGGAGCACGGCCAGCAGGACAACTGCAGGACAAGAGGACGACAGGAGGACAACACCCGCACACAGGGTTGGGGCGCAGCCAAACACTGTGGCCAGTGTCTTTTTGCCTAACAGAACCCCAACAGTAAACTCTGGGGAACAAAGGAGCAACCACAGAAAAATGTTGCTTACGCAAGCTAGGGCCTCGACAGGATGCAACTGCATCGATTGGCATCTATCCACACAATGTGCCCAATACTGTAATGGTATCTAGAACTCTTTAGTTAGTCACTCCCCTAGTTAAACAGAGTCGTTCCGCCCATCTTAGTGAGTTAGTTAGTTTCATGTCCAACGTTTATGCTATTCTTAGTTCTTTCCTCTTCTTCTTGTTGCAACTTCATGTGTTCTACTCCTCTTCCTTTCCTCAACACCCCTTACTGGCCCAATAGGTTGTTGTAGGGCAGCACTCGCAAAGAACACATCTTAAGCATGCAGCGGCCCCACAAAAGAGAAACTATTCATGCAAAGTGGTTCGCTTTGCGGAAAATACAGTTGACATAAAGGGCTCACGGTACAGGTGAAATGGATGCAGTAATTGATACTTGCTGTACATACACATATAATTTAGGGTCTGCCTAGGCCTCTTTATCTGTTGAGGCCTGGGACTATCCTGGACTATTCCGAGACCTATTCCTGGACTATTCCTAAACTATCCTGGACTATTCCTAAACTATCCTG